TTGATTATAATTATTTCTTTGGTAATTTTTAGTTTTTCCTAGAGGTGGCAAAATGGGCGGGATGGGCGGGATTTGCTTGGGTTTGAGATGGAACCGAGTCATATGGGTTTGGGCCCAACCTTACCCATATGTGTTTTGGGACTAACTTGGGCGGGATCATTTTGGGATGGGTTTAGATTGATCCCGCCCAATACCCAAATTCATTTTCTACATATTTTTTTCCTTTAATTCATTTTTTAATTTTATATAATTTTAATATTTTTGATTTATTAAATTCTTTTAGTTTTATTAAATAAACATGCAAGTGCTTTATACTCAAGATTCCCACCAAAAATTGGATTAACAAATAAAGGAAAAGATAGATATACAACCATATTCCAACATATATCAAGATGGCGAAGGTCCCTAGGATGTTGAATATTTATCCTTATCATTGTCCAAGGATGACAGGTCTAAACTAACTGAAATGGTGGAAATTCTTGTGGATAATGACTAGGAAGACTACTAGATTATATTCGCTGGTATGACTATAAAAATTGTTAAAGATAATTTTTGAATCTAAGATTCCGTTTGGATTGACTTTTTTTTCAAAAAATAAGTTTTTCAAATACAATGTTACAGTAATATACAATAACTCAAGAAACATCCCATCCATATTAATATATCAAATATTTCAAAAAAATTTTATAGTAAAAATTTTTCATATACACTGCTACAATAAAATATTTCAAAAACACCTACCAAAAACAGCTAATCCAAACGGAGCCCTTGCCATTTGAGTCCAATGGGTACCCAAGTATTTCCCATCCTTTCCCATTCATTAATGGGTATAGTTGGGATGTGTCCCAACTTAAACCCAATACCAAATTATAATACCCATCCCGCCCAAAGTTCCTTTGGGCATGAGTAGCCCATTGGGACTTGGGACAAATTGCCAGCTCTAGTTTTTCCCCTGCCTTAGATACCTTATAAATTTTTAGGCTCCCGAACCAATATAAAATCTGACAATCCAGTTAGAAGAGCCATAAAACCCTTCAAACAGATTTTTTTTGATATTTTATTTGCTAAGAAAAGCCAGGGATATATAACTCATTCTAATTGATGTGAAAGGAAAAAATATAATTAATGTAATATTCTCCCAAATTTGTTATTTGACCTTTTTTTTTTTAAATTATGGAATTTTTTCAAGGATAATCGAGTTGCTAGTTTTGCAATTAGCGTTAACCAACTTTTATGTATCCTACGACTTATTTTGGTCCTTCCCTAGAAACTTTAATTAATGGCATCGAAGTCTTCTGATACTACAGAAGTTTCCACTTTCCCCGCCGGCGGAGAAGATGTTTAAATACCGTATTACAACTATCCACCTTAGTTATACTTTTGACACCACCAAAAAAAAAAAAAAAGTCTTACTGACAATGGGACAACATAATTTTATCCAATCTAAACAGAAGGTACACCATGGCAAAATAATAAAAAATATATATAAAAAAAGTACACTACATTATATGCATCTTAGTTGTACTTCTGACACCATCCAAAAAAAAAAGTCATAAGAACAATGGCACAAGATAATTTTATGAGATTCTTCATCATTCATTTTACTGGGGAGAAAGAGTGGGGGAAGGGGCGAGACGAAGTCGAGCCATTTGGAGATAAGCCCTTCGCATGTGTCGAGTAAATGAATGCAGCCTCAACTTCAATTGATTCAGTAGGAACTGTTGTAGGTATTGTAATGTGTTTGCATTGCTAAATTATTTAACATAATATTTCGCTTGCATCGTAAATTTATTTTTCAATCTATCTTTTTATATTTTTAACTATTTTTTTATGTTATATACTTCATATCATAAATAGTGCTATAGATATTATTTTAAATAATATTTCAAATAATACTCTATCCAAACACACTATTCTTGTGAGACGTAAACACAAAAAAATATAGAAAATAAAAAAAAAGTTATATTATATGCATGCAAATGAAAATTATATGATATTTCTAAATGATAGACGCAAATATGAAATCTCTAAAATAAAAAAGTGGGTTATATTTTAGTTTATTTTTATCACTTAAGTTGTACCGTTGTTTAATATAGAATTTTCCTTTTTTGCTAATTTAGGTTAATGGCGGCGAAGTCTTTGACGCTACCAAAGTTTCCACTTTTGCCGCTGGTGGCGAAGATATTTAAATACTGTATTACAACTACCCGTCTTAGTTGTACTTCTGATACGACCAAAAAAAAAAAAAAAGGAAAGGTCGTATGAACAATGGGACAAGATAATCTTATTTAATCTAAATAGAAGGTACATCATGCAAAAAAAAAAATCTAAATACAAAAATAAAAGAGTACACTGTAATATATGCATTTTAATTGTACTTCTGATAACTTTATCCGATCCAAACAGCCAACGGGACAAGATAACTTTATACGATCCAAACAGCAGACACCATGCACAAAGAAAAACTATAATATAAAAGGTATAAAAGTACACTATATTATATGCGTGCAAAATTGCCATTTTCTATTACAGTCCACTTGTAAAAAGTGACTGAAACCACGATATTTTCAAGTGATAAATACAAGGGATAATTTTAGAAACCTCCCTTGAGGTTTCCGACAATTTCACTGAGTTTTCCTGAGATTTGAAAAATTACACATATCTCCCTTGATTTGATAGTTTTAGTAACAAACTTTAAAATAATATTGACTTGATCAAATTTTTAAATGAATACCCAAAAATGCCCTTGTGTAATGAGTTTTAATTTACTTTCCTATAGAATTATAAGATTATCTATTGTAATTATAAGGAAAAAGTGTCGAATTTTTTATGTTTATACCTACTATTTGATAAACAAATATAATAATAATTTTATCGCTATGATTGGATACTTTTGATAGTATTTTATTATGCATTTAGATTTATAAGATAGAAATAAATTTTGAAATAATTGATTTAGAGTTTATGAATTTTTTGAGTAGTGGGATTATCATAATTTAGTAGTGATTTTGGGCAATATATTTTTTGATTTGTTGTTAATTTTAATACCAAAAAATAGAAAACAAAGATTAGCAAAAAAACATCGGATTATATATAAAGTTAATTCATTAAAAAAATCATTAGTTCGACATTTGGTTGCAATAGAACTAGAGATAATAGTGGCAATTTTACAATTTTATTGGCAAAAAATTAAAATAAGAAGGAAAAGAATGAAAAAATAATTTTAAAGTCATTCTAAGTATAAGCATACCAAACAAGGGAATTTCATTAAAATATTTAAGGGTGGTATTGCCATTTTAAATGACAATAGAGGTATGTATAATTTTTTAAATCTCAGGGGAGCTTAGTAAAATTGTCAGAAAACTCAGGAGAGATTTTTGAAATTAAATATAAAATCTTTAGAATCAAGGAAATAAACCATATTTTAATTTATTTCCATCATTTAACATAGGACTTTCCTTTTCTACTAATTCAAGTGGCCTGTTGGTGCATGTGCTTACATAGGCATAGAGTATCTAGTCATGGTGGCTTTTTCTGACTTTCAATTCCAAATCAAAAGATTAAAAACAAAGAAAGGTATAAAATATGCGGTATTATCTAATTATAGCAACTATGAATCTAGTGTAAACCAACAAATCCGACACATAATGCCCCTTCCTAGGACGTTCATTGTACTTAAATACGTGTGAAATCTCAAGGGAAATATTTGATCAGACACATGCCATCTTCTTCTTCCTAAATTAAAATCTAACCGTCTGTGACACGCCTGAGACAGCCCCTCGAGCCGCGCCCTGCTTTATAATCTGGCGCTGGGGGAACGTGCCCCATTGCCCCCTAAATAATTCTACTATTATCCTAGTAATTTTGAGAATTTTTTAGTTGTGCTTCTATTATGATCCAAACAATTATGAGAAATTTTCAATTGTGTCCCCATTTTGTTGTTTAGAAGTAAATGTAAATTTAATTAGTTTTGTAACTTAATGAAAATGAAATGTTACATAATTCAAAGCAACTGCCATCTACATCAATAAAATGAAATTTTAGAATTTTATAGGTCTGTGGCTGCTATAAAAGGTTTTTCATATTTTTTTCAAAGAAAATTATTCTTTTCTTACTTTTTAAAATTTTTTTTAATAGAGTAACTAGGAGGCCTCGAACCCCAGATCTTTCACTTACACTTTCTCTTCTCAAACCATTTAACCAATTCCTCCTCCTATTGTGTTAATATGTGATTTTGGTGCTATATTACTTATTAAATGAAAAATTTTATGTTTGTTTGAAACAATTAATTGACAGGCCTAATAGTTGCTCCAAAATCAATGAAAAGAGTTTCACATAAATACACAAATTTCTCCACTAAATAGACGTAATACATTTTATGTGAATGTTGTTGTTATGTGCTGTTTTTAGGAAGACAAGGAAGAAATTTTGATATTACTTTTTCCCCCACTAATAATTATTTCTAACTCCGCCACTTCACATATCAAATTTGACAGCGCAATTACAAATAGGTCCTTGAGTTCTACTCGCCATCCCCCCTTCTTAAATTCGATCCTCACTTTTTTGTACTCATGCAACCAACTTAGTTTACAAAAAGTCACTTAATATGTAAGTTACATTAAATATAAATGTACCCTAAATGTCAGAAGAAGTGAAACAACTGTATATAACTGCACCAAATTCAATTGTACCTACACAATCCCCAAACTTATACTTCACATTGCACCAACTTGCATCTTTCTTTCTTGTTCTTCATTTTTCTTCTTCTTTAGCAAAGCTTCGGCATTTGCAATGGGAAAATACTTGGATTAAATGTTACAACATGGTGTATGGTGCCACATTAATTTCTCCCAAAAAAACATCCAGTGAAGTAAGAAAGGCGAGTCCTTCTCATCGTCTACTACTCTCCTTTTCTTTCAAGTTGGCACCCGACAATATTAGTATAATTAGTCTTTAACTAATGGCCTTTCTGCTCTTCTTATAGTTCAATTCATTAAAAAATGGTGACTTTGTTACCTGGTCACGAGTTCTACAACTTGGAAGGTGAACAAAAGCAAGACTTTCCGGCCAAAAAGATAGAAACAAAAGCAAGGATAGTATTTAATAAAAATGTTGCAGTTTGGACACTCTACTTCATATTACAGGCGCTCTATTAATTTTGTAATTTCTTCTAATGAAAAGAAAGTTCTTCAATTTAGTGTCAATGACAAAAAGTAGAGCGTCAACTTCGTTACCCAAACTTAGGGCTGCATTTTATTCTGTGTAAGGTGAAGTCCTAGGGGAAGTACAACTTGAGGAATTATAATGACGCAGCAATTAAAAATCTGAAGCAAGAGAAGAATCTATTATTGGGAACCCAAATAATTAATTAGACATGCACAAGATAAACCATTGTATGAGTGATATTGAGACTAAACCAACTATTGTAGAACCCAAAAAATTCACCAAAACATTATAGGAGATATATTTCATAAAATCAATGCATATGGGGAGGTAATTTACACGCATACAATTAGTATGTGTGGGAGAAGAGAAATAATACCAACAATAATCTATTAATTACATCATAAAAATAAGATTCTCAATCCTTAACTCTAGATGACTCGATAAACAAGTCTTACAACCATAAGAAATTTTCTAATAAGATACTAATTGATAAACAATAAAACTACCATAACATGATTCCAATAGAATTATTAAGACCCTAACTTGACTAAAATACTATTAAATAATAATATGAAAATTTCTAACTTTGACCCTTGATTTAATATGCCAACATTTCACCTTCCCTACGTGAAAACTACCTTAAATTATGTGGGTTACGTCTAGAACTAGTTTCTTGGACAAAGCCTGGGTTTCGTGGACGATTTCATTATGTACGACATTATCAATGCTCCATTAATTTTAAGCCAGTGGGTAAGAGAGAAACTTCTCCATTTGATATTCATTAGCCATCAACCTTGACATCCAAGGTGGCCGTCGAAGAAAAAAACAATGCTATGCTCAAACTCGAGAAAATGGTGACAATACATAAGGGTATTAATCACCAAGCACAAGTAGCTTTGAAGGTAAGCGATGAACGGATGCTACATTGCCCATTACTACATTGAATACTATAATGGAGTTCACACCAGTTAAGATGGGTCTTAGGTGCTCGTATTGGCAATGTTATACTAAATTGAGAAAATATTTTAATACAATGAGTGTAGTTTTAGAGTATATTAGGTACCCCAAGATTTATTGATGCCTCAATATGTTAACTGTATAGATTGATGAAGCTTGGACCTTGAGGTTGGAGCATGCAATTGCTTTGATAGCAGTTAAAATGAAAAGTTCTGTATACAATAGTTCAAAGATGAATTCAAAATGAAACCTGAAAATTTTCTATTTCTAAGTTGTACTTGTTTTTAATTTTGAACATGTATTTAGTTTTGATTTTAAGATTTAAAGACTTGAATTTCAGCCAAGCAATGTATAGAGAAAAAGACAATCTATAATTTTGAGGGTATGCAATTATAGGATAATAAAGTTTCTAAAATTTTAGCTAGCCTATTCTCTGACTTGTAGTAAAAAGTTGGTAATGGTCATTGTCCAACCTCAGATATACAAGGCTTCGAACTCAAGTACATCAATATTGTTGCATTTTATTTTGCACATTCATACCTTTAATGATCTTAAGCATACCCGAAGCTTTTTTAATTAAACATCTCAATTAAGTGCCAAATTGTCTTATGTGCAAATTTTCCATCCGTCGACTTAACTAACAGTACCATTTCAAAGTAAATGGATAAATATTTTTATTTTTGTCATACTACCATTCATAAAGCAGCTTAGTGCTCTTCTAGTTAATTCACATTTTTTGGTCAGCCATACTACTCTAGATTTTTAAAACTTTTTTTTTTGGTTTGAATTTTAAGGAAATGAAAATCTATTTATACTGAGTTACATAAATTTATATAATTATTAAGCCTTGGTTGAGGTAATTGTGAATAGTATAGGGTCTAAGGACGAAATAATGAAATATATATTAACAGCGGGCCAAAGTCGACAGATGCACATCTAGGGCTTTTTACAATTTGGAACTCTTTTCATCGGCACAAATATCTTGAAAGAAATCATCTCATTCCACTCCCCGACAGTTGGTCATTTGCATGGCGTTGTTGGGGTAGCATCCCTTGATGGCTTCGCCATAGAGGCCTTGGCAAGTGTGCACTTCCTTGAACACGGAAAGTACAATGGTAGCACTGTGGAAATTAAAGGAGTTATTAATCAGGATCAGCAAGTCAGTGAAGTTGCAATTGTAGGAGGAACTAAACATTTCCTGTATGCAACAGGGTACATGACCTTTACGGGTACCCCGGTTGTAAATGCAACTGGGCATAATGTTTATAAGTTGGACCTCCACATTACACAGGACTTACAGGATGACTACCTTAGTATTGCTCAGTGTTAATAACTGACACACACACATATATATATATATATATATATATGTATCAGTATCCTATCAATAAACCTGGCCCTGGGTCCTGTAGGTCATCAGGTCAAGAATTTCTCCATGTTTTAATTATCAAGATGTATGGTGTGAGCTGTATGTTTCTTGAGGTACTTGGCATTTAGTCAACTTTACGTTATCAATAAAACAGTATGGTTTGTAATACTTTCGAATAATTTGGTGTGACTGTTGTTAGATCTTTTCTCGACATATGCTCCACTTCTAAAATAGAAGACACAAATCTAAGGCAAGATTGTGCCCTAATTTTCTTTCTCTTTACCAAGTAAAATATGAATTGTCTAGATATCATTATAGTTGTTCTTTGTACCTACTTAATCAATATAAAGGATCCCCTTTTTTCATAAATGTAATATTTTTATTTATTTACCATATAAAATTTAAGGAAAAATCATTCAAAACGTCCCTTACATTTTGCAAAATGACTTTTTCCGTCCCTCACTTTTAAAAATGTAATTTTACGTCCCTTACAAATTCACATTAGTCAAATTTGGTCCCTATCTGGGTTTCCGATTAGTTTTTTGTCAAAATCCACCATGTACGTTGCATGTGATCTTTTTTTAAGGGCAAAATTGTCAAATCAAATTTTACATAATCCGATTCACAGTCCCTTACATTTTACAAAATAATTTTTTTTGTCCCTCACATTTCACAAAATAAATTTTTTCGTCTCTCACATTTCACAAGTTGGATTTTTTTGTCTCTCACATTTTATAAAATGAATTTTTTCTTCCCTAATTGACCATGTGTACAAATAGTTTTTTTTAACCCATGTACATACCTATTTAATTTCACCTTAACAATACAAATAACATGTAATATATCTCTATTTGATTTTGTCTGATGTTATATTGAATTAAATTTGGACAGAAAAAATAAACATAGGAAAAGTATAACAAAAAGAAGTAAGTAATTGGTACTTTCAAATTTTAAGACAATCACAAGATAAGTAATTCAACTATTAGTCTTAAAGATGGTGAGTAGAAACTTCAGATTTAAACTGCAATTTGTTAACATAACTATAAAATTCGAGTTAGGATCCATTAATTAAATTACCTTATTATACAACTCAATAAATGAATTATTACCAAAGAGAAAAGGCTATAAATATTGAATAGATTCACATGGTGAAATCAAATAGATATATACATGGGTTTAAAGCAAATTTGTTACTTTTAAATCCCTGTATATATCTATTTAATAGCATGTGTACAACTAGAAATAGAAATATATGACATGCTATTCGTACTGTCCAGGTGAAATCAGACAGATATATACATGGGTTTAAAAAAAACTATTCGTACACATTATCAATGAGAGATGAAAAAATTCATTTTGTGAAATGTGAGAGATGAAAAATTTTAATTTATGAAATGTAAAGACAAAACAATTCATTTTGTTAAATGTGAGGGACTATGAATCAAATTATGTAAAATTTGATTTCACAATTTTAACTCTAAAAAATGATCACATGCTAGGCACATGGTGAATTCCAACCAAAAACTAGTCGGAAACATAGTTAGGGACAAATTTTGATCAATGTAATTTTGTAAGGGACGTAAAATTACACTTTTAAAAGTGTGGAACGAAAAAAGTCATTTTCCAAAATGTGAGGGATGTTTTGAATGATTTTTCTAAAATTTAATACTACTACAAATTTGTATCAATTATTTGTATTCTTAATAAATTAATGATTTTTTTTAACACGCGTTGGAGAAGCAGTTAGACTACAAATAATTAGCCTAATTATTTAGCTACTGTAATTTTATATAAAAAAAAATTTAATGAATATGGACGTATACTCAAGTAATGCAACATTGTGACCCCTGTCTTCCAATGAACAGCAACACATACAGTTAGAATATATTCAAATTCAAGAGTTTCGAATATAATTTCTAATTTTTGATGTCTCAATCTTGTTTGTTATATCATTAAACCAAAGACTCACTTTCCTTGAAATAGATTTGTTTATGTATCTCGCTTTCAACAAAATATTTGGCATGATAAACCCCATCTTTCTATATTAATCTTTTATCGTGAACATGTACTTGTACTTATTTTTAATTGTGAACATGTATTTAGTTTTGATTATAAGATTTAAAGCCTTGAATTTTTAGTCAAGCAGCGTATAGAGAAAAAGGCAATCTATAATTTTTGAGGGTATGCAATTATAGGATAAAACTAAAGTTTCTAAATTTTTAGCTAGCCTATTCTCTAATTTGTAAAAAGTTGATGATTGGTCATCGTCTACACTCAAATATATATGGCTTTGAACTTAAGTATAGCAATATTAGGAATGTCAATGGGATCGAGCCTAACCGAACTTGGTTGGTCCATTCGAACAAAAAATGTTCATTGAACCTAAACTTTAATTGGGCGGATCAAAGGCTAGCTTTAAATATTGGGTCCAAACTAAATGTGAGTCGAGTTTTGGGTCATACTAGACTTAAGCTTAATTAGAACTCAGCACATATATGAGTATAATTATATATGTAAAATATATACTTTGTTGGTCGCATTTTATATGTCATGGTTTTCATTTTAGTTTGTCCCAAAATACTTGTCATGATTTAAAATAAAAATAAATGAAATCCAACTTTTCTATTATACCCTTAATACAAGTCCCAAGGTAAAGCATTTAAGTCATATTCTCTTAATAAATTGTGCTACAAACTATCTTTATTTTTAGGTAGTTGTGCCTTTTTTAAAATTTCAAACTCAAATTACAAATTTTAAATTTTAATTGAAGGGCACAAGTGTAAAGGCATTTTTTAGTAGCTTATGTGTGTCTTAGTCAAAATTTATTTTCTTAAACTATGTGCAAAGTTGACAATGACATATAGAATGGGATGGCCCGAGTATAATAATATCTACAATTTATAATTATACATATTACGATGTAAACTATTAATAATTTATATATAAATTTATATTAATTCATAATTTATATAAATTTGTATTAATTTATAATTATACATATTGTGATGTAAAATGTTAATAATTTATATATAGATTTGTATTAATTCATAATTATATAATATATATTATATATAATTATGAGTTTGGACCAAACCCAATTTGAACCTAAAACTCATATAACAGTGTGAGCAGAGTTTGAGTCTTTTAATATGAGCCCGAAGCCCAAAAGCCCAAAATTCAAAAATTCATAAAATTTGTGAGCCAAATTTGGGCTTGCTAAATTCCGGTTCAAAAATCAAATTGACACCCCTAATCAATATTGTCACATTTCATTCTGCAAATTCATACTTTTAATTGATTTAAGCATATGTAATGACCGAGCTGGAGTCTAGTTATTTGACGTTAGGAAGTTAGTTGTAGAAGATATTCCAAATAACAGATTGCATGTGTCGGTTAATTGATCGAGCATGTGAGTCCTTTCATATTGCATGCGTTAGTTATATTGTTAGAATACCAGAAACTAGTATAAAGCAGAGGAGGAAGAGAAGGGATGTAGTTTTTGGATGTAACAATTCTCATTTCCCGTCTATACTATCTTAGTCTTCCCCTGCTCTCTCTTCTCATTTCCCCTGTATCTGCATTTCTCTCAATTTCTGTCTTGAATCCGTCCCTTGTTGGGCAGGTCCAGTACAATTGGTATCAGACGCTTGCGGTCCTTGGATCTGCAAGCTCAGCTACCGAATCTGTAGCTGACTATGGCGGAGGGCACCAGAATGAAAGGCTTCGAGGAACAACTGAGGAAGCAGGATTCTCGGATCCAGGGCATCCTTGAAGCCAATGCAGCTGAACGACTAGCACTGGAAGAGAAATTGGCAACAAATCACTCTGATATGAAGGCACTCTTGGAAGCGAACTCAGCTGAGATGAAAAATTTCATGGTTTCCATGAATGCTCAATACACCGCTTTTGTGAGAAGCTTGCAAAGCGACCGAGGGATCTTAGGAATTTCACCAGACAATACGGAGAGGCAACCTGTCCAAAGGCCTCAGAGAAACTTGGAGTTGGGGCTATCCAATCAAGGAGAGAGGAATTTCCTACCTGTAGGGACTCCTAAGGTGGAATTTCCCAAATTTGATGGCTCTAACCCCAGAGAATGGGTCAGGAGATGTGAGAAGTTTTTCCGTTTATGTCGCATTCCTGATTCGCAGCATATGGATTTAGTGGAATTGCATCTGGATGGGAAAGCTAGTATTTGGTATCAAGGTTTCAAGATGGACAAGGGGGAGTTACGATGGGATAGATTCAGCCAAGAGTTTTGTAGTCGATTTGGGAATTTAGGGGAGGATGACGTTATAGAGGAGTTTAACAAGCTTCATCAAACTTCCACAGTAATTCACTACCAAGAATGGTTTGAAGAGCTGCGAGCTGCCGTGATGCTCAAGGTCCCTGGTCTTACTGAATCATATTACATCTCCAGTTTCCTAAGTGGCCTAAAGGAGGAGATTAAGTCTGTGGTCAAGATCCACAAACCTGCGACCTTGCAATCAGCATTTGAGAAGGCGAGATGGCAGGAGCATTACTTACAGGTTATGGCTAAGCAATCTAGGATGGCTACAAAACTAACTCAGGTTACGGAGACAATACAGAAGAAGCCTGCACATCAGATGTTTGATAGCAGCAACAACAAAACTACTCCCCAAGGCTCTAGGAGGATTACCCCCACTGAGTTCCAGTACAGGAAGGATCACAGTTTATGTTTCAAATGTGGAGAGAAGTTCTCCCCTGGGCATGTTTGCAGGAATAAGGGAATTCATTTGCTGCTAGCAGATGAGGGCGAGGCTCAAGTAGAGGAAGTAGTAGATGAAGAGGATGAGGTCATTGAGTATCAAGGCAACAAGTATGGCAGGGATATTACACTATCCCTCCACTCAGTTTCTGGCCAATTGTCTTCCAGTACCATTAAGATGTTGGGAGATTATGGTGATCAAGAGGTGTCAATCCTGCTGGATGGAGGTAGCACCAACTGCTTCATAAAGCCAACTATTGCTCAACTCTACCCTGAAGCTGTTAAGAATCATAAACATTTTAAAGTCAGAATTGCTGATGGGAAAGAATTAGTTTGTGAGCAATGGATTCCTGGTATGAAGTGGATGATGCAAGGCCATCATTTTACTCACAATGTGTATGTACTAGACTTGGAACCGTACGACCTGATTTTGGGGGTTGACTGGATGAAGTGTTATAGCCCCATGACTTTTGACTTTCAAAAGTTGTCATTATCATTTGAGAAGGAGGGTGAAATGGTGTTACTACAAGGGGATTCCCACTCTGCCAAGGTGTTGATGAAGCAAGGAGTATCAGCCCAGAAGTATTGCAGAAACAAAATCAGAACAGCCTTGCAACACTCTTGCATGATACGAGTACAAAACTCACAGGTAACTACTGTGCCCAAAACACTCACTCAATTACTTGCTCAATATGATGACATATTTGCTGCACCTACAACTTTACCCCCCAACCGTAGCCTCAATCACCAAATACCTTTGAAACCTGATGCTAAACCTTTCAAGATTAGACCCTATAGGTACCCCCACAGGCAAAAAACAGAAATAGAAAGGCAAGTCAAGGAAATGTTGGCCACTGGTATCATCCAAACCAGCCATAGTCCTTTTGCATCCCCAGCCTTAATAGTTAAAAAGAAGGATGGCACTTGGAGGTTATGCATTGACTATAGACAACTTAACAGCCTCACTATCAAAGACAAGTTTCCCATCCCAATCATTGATGACCTCCTAGATGAACTGCAGGGTGCCAAAATTTTTTCAAAAATTGATTTGAGGTCAGGGTACCATCAGATAAGAATGCACCCATCTGATATCCAAAAAACAGCTTTCAGAACCCACTCTGGCCTCTATGAATACTTAGTGATGCCATTTGGCCTCACTAATGCACCAGCAACTTTCCAGGCTCTAATGAACTCGGTATTTGAACCTTTTATTCGAAAATTTGTGCTAGTGTTCTTTGATGACATTCTAGTTTACAGCCCCGATTTTGACTCCCATCTCAAACACCTCTCCCTTGTTCTTGACACCCTCAGAAATCACTCATTATATGCAAAAATGTCTAAGTGTTCATTTGGGCAAGATAGAGTAGAGTACTTGGGGCATATAGTTACTGGTGAGGGAGTCTCTGCTGATCCTGCAAAAGTGGAAGCTATGCTGTCCTGGCCATCTCCTACCACTGTTAAAGGTTTAAGGGGTTTTTTGGGACTGACAGGATACTACAGGAGATTTGTGAAGGGATATGGGAAGATCGCTAAACCTTTAACTAATCTGCTAAAGAAGGATGGTTTCGGGTGGGATGAACAAGCTGAGCAAGCTTTCCAAGAACTCAAACATGCTATGACTCAAGCTCCTGTACTAGCACTTCCTGATTTCCTTGGAACATTTGTATTGGAAACCGATGCTAGCCAAAAGACCATTGGAGCAGTTTTGATGCAGCAAGGTAGGCCTATTGCTTTCATGAGTCAGGCACTTGGACCCAAAAATCAAACACTGTCCATATATGAAAAGGAATTATTGTCATTGATTACTGCAGTAGGGAAATGGAGACACTACTTGCTAGGAACTCACTTCATAATCAAAACTGATCATGAAAGTTTGAAATACTTACTGGAACAAAAAATCACTACACCTCTCCAGCCAAAATGGTTAGCAAAGCTGATGGGACTAGATTATGAGATCCAATATAAAAGGGGTAAGGATAACTTGGTGGCTGATGCTCTATCTAGAAGGATGGAAGGAAGGGATGAAGGGTCAGGTGGTGAGGAGGTGCAGGTCCATGCCATTACCACAGCAAAGCCATTATGGTTAGCAAGGGTCTCTAGCAGTTATAATGGGGATGAGAAGGCCAAGGAACTACTGACTGCACTAGCGGTAGACAAATCTAGTGTGCACGATTACACATACCATCAAGGGATTATCAGGTATATGGGAAGAATGTATATTGGGAGTAACTCAGAATTAAGGGCTCAGCTCATCAATTGCATGCATGATTCTGCAATTGGAGGGCACTCGGGGAACCAAGGAACATACCAGAGAATGAAGAACTATTTCTACTGGCCGGGCATGAAAAAGGATGTGGAATCTTACGTACAGGCTTGTGACATTTGCAAGAGGAGTAAAGGGGAGCATTGCTCCTACCCAGGGTTGTTGCAGCCATTGTCAATTCCTGAGCAAGCATGGCAGGAAATTTCTATGGATTTTATTGAAGGACTACCCAAATCATATGGTCATAATGTCATTTTTGTGGTGGTAGACAGATTTACAAAATATGCTCACTTCACCTCCATGACTTCTCACTACACTGCTAAGAGTGTGGCTCAGGTATTCTTCGACCAAATATTCAGGTTACATGGGCTGCCTAATGGGATTGTATCTGATAGAGACAAAGTGTTCACTAGTATATTCTGGCAAGAGCTTTTTAAGCAAGTAGGGACTGAACTTAGTTTCTCTTCTTCCTATCACCCTCAGTCTGATGGACAAACTGAGAGGGTGAATAGGTGTCTAGAGACTTACTTAAGAGCTATGTGCTTGCAGCAACCAGGCCATTGGAAAAGGTGTTTACCTGCAGCTGAATGGTGGTACAACACTAACTTCCACTCCAGTTTGCAGATGACTCCGTTCCAAGCTTTATATGGCTACAAACCATCCCAATTGAGTTTGCACTCAAGTGACACTCCAGTTGCTGCTGTGGAGGATTGGATAAAGGAAAGGGTAAACTGGAATACATTGCTCAGGGAAAATTTATTGCAGGCTCAGAACCGAATGAAGCAGTTTGCAGACAAACACAGAATAGATAGGTCCTTTGCTGAGGGTGATTGGGTGTATCTCAAGCTGCAGCCGTATAGGCAGACTACGGTAGCACTAAGGAGGAACTTGAAGCTGGCAGCCAAGTATTATGGCCCATATCAGGTGGAAAAGAAGATTGGGTCAGTTGCTTATAGGCTCAAGCTTCCACAGGGTGCTGCTATTCACCCTGTTTTCCATGTTTCACTCTTGAAACCAACGTCTAAGGGAGCTCCTATCAGCAATGAATTGCCACAAATATCGGAGGAAGGGCTCTACACTACTGCCCCCACTGCGGTTCTAGACAGAAGAATGATAGACAGGGCTGGTCAGCAGGTGGAGCAGGTCTTAATTTGTTGGAAGAACATGAATGAGGAGGATGCTACCTGGGAGGACTTGACTGTTATACAAAGCCAATTTCCATCCTTCAATCCTAGAGACTAGGATTGTTTGAAGGGAGGGCAACTGTAATGACCGAGCTGGAGTCTAGTTATTTGACGTTAGGAAGTTAGTTGTAGAAGATATTCCAAATAACAGATTGCATGTGTCGGTTAATTGATCGAGCATGTGAGTCCTTTCATATTGCATGCGTTAGTTATATTGTTAGAATACCAGAAACTAGTATAAAGCAGAGGAGGAAGAGAAGGGATGTAGTTTTTGGATGTAACAATTCTCATTTCCCGTCTATACTATCTTAGTCTTCCCCTGCTCTCTCTTCTCATTTCCCCTGTATCTGCATTTCTCTCAATTTCTGTCTTGAATCCGTCCCTTGTTGGGCAGGTCCAGTACAGCATACTAGAAGCTTTTTTAATCAAAGGTCTCAATTAAGTGCCGAATTGTTTTATGTGCAAAAATTTCCATCCATTGATTTAACTAACAGTACAGTTTTTTAAAGATGATGCATAAATATGTTTCCCTTTCACATACTACCATTTATAAAGCAGCTTAGTGCTGTTCTAGTTAATTTCATTTTCTTTTGTTAACCTTACTTCTCTCGATTTTTTTAAACTTTTTTTGGATGAATTTTAAGAAAATGAAAATCTATTTATACTAAGTTACATAAATCTGCTTAATTATTAAGCCTTGACAGGAAATTGTGAATATTAGAGTGTCTAAGGACGAAATAGTGAAATACATATTAACAGCGGATCAAAGTCAACAAATGGACATCTAGCCATTATTTCTGTATCAAACTTCACGTTACAGTCTGATTCAATATTCTAAAAATCCTCGGGAAGTGAAAATGCAGTTTTTCAGTTTTATACTTCACACCACACCAAGTTGTTCCCCTCAACTCTGCGGTCTTATAAATAGTTCTCCTCGTCGGCTTCGTGCTTCACACCACACCAACTCGTTTCCTTCTTTCTTCTCCTCCTCTGTTTCTGTAACAAAACAATTGCAAAGAGTTTAGCCATAGCATCCCTCCAAATTCTCAGCCTGCTTTTGCTAGCAAGCTTGGCACAATCAAGGATAGTGTCCAAACATTTGACGGTGTACGAACATGAAATTCGAAGCGGAGAAGGTCAGACTGTTTTCATTGTTGCAGGTCTCCCCAACGTAACTCGGGCCTTCAACCAATTTGGAACTGTTTTCGTCGCTGATAATATCTTGACAAGAAGTGCTTCATTCAAATCCGCACTGGTTGGTCGTTTCCAAGGCATTGGTGCAGTAGCATCCCTTGATGGCACCATCATAGAGACTCTGGCAAGTATTCGCTTCACTAGTGGAGAGTACAGTGGCAGCACTGTGGAATTAAAAGGCATAGGGTCTCAGGATGTCAATGAAATGGCAATTGTAGGAGGAACCAAACAATTCCGGTATGCAACAGGGTATACTACTTTTGAGACGGTCAGAGCTGTAGGAGATTTTATTACTGCAAAGTGGGATCTCTACATTAGACTGGATATACCGGATGACTACCCTGGTATTAATCTTCATTAATAACTTTTATATATATGTATGTGTATATATATATATATATATGTTCATTAATAATATTTTTTTACCTGGGTCTTGAATGAATGAAATAACTGTTTATTACCTTGCAAAATTCCAAGTGTTGAGGAGCATAATTATTGCTGAAGTATTTTCCCATCAGATTACTCCAAAAAACATTGCTAGCATTAACTATTGTACGTAAGCCACTAATCATTTGGATAGGTATTAGCCAGCAACTTTGACATCTAATCATCCCAATATTAAAATATCAAAAAAATTTGAGTTGAGCATAATCTTAGAAAATGATTTGAACTGCAGATTGATCTCCAAAAGTGTGAAGAATAATTTGCTGGAAATGAAAAAGTGTTTGATACTTTAATGTGACATCATATAATATCAGTTTATGTATCCCACATAATTGATAGTAACATATATTGCATAAATGGTGACTTTGATACCTGATCACAAAGTCCACAAGTTGAACCCGCTTTTTGGGCAAAAAAGGAGCAAGGACAGCATTTAAAATAAATGTGGCAACATGGACACTCTATTTTTTATTACTGGCAGTCTATTGGTTTTGTAATTTCTGCCAATGAATAGAGAGCAAATTAATTTTATGTCGGCTGCGTTTTATTGTGTATTAGGTGAAGTTCTAAGCACGTAAAAAACTTAACTTATTATAATTGAAATGGCAATTAAAAAACTGAAGTGCATATTATATCTTTGAGGATTGATTGTAGTTGAAATTATTGGTGGAACCCAAATAATTAATTAATTAGCCATGCTGAAGATAAACAATTGTATGAGTGATATTGAAACTTGATCAACTCTTTTGACCAAAATTTCACCTTCCCTATGTGAAAACTACCTTAAATTATGTGGCTTGCAATTTGATTTAGTAGTCTGCATCTATCAAATAAAACTACATCCAGCCATCAAACTTTAAATAATTAACAATTTATCGAGGACTTTAATTTTAAATGATATGTCTACTTGTCAACTTAGAATTAAGATTCCTGCTATGTGAACTAAGTAATTTTAATGGCATAAATTTGAGTTCTCATAACTTGTAAAGACCTGTACGAAACCACAACCAAAATTGTAAACTAATACTAAAATGTGTTAGTTGTATTCAAACATCCAATTTCCGCTGATTCATGTGCTCAGAAACATCCCTTGAAGTTTTTAACAATTTCACCTAGTTCCCTTGAGATATGAAAAATTACATATACCTCCCCCGAGCTTATAGTTTTGGCAACAAAAACTATTTAGTGGTCAAATTTTGAATGAATAACCCAAAATACCCTCATGAAAATTTCAAGTTCATTTTACCTTCTGATAAAATTATTCAAAAACTATGGAACATAGACAAAACCTCAAACTCATTTTCAACCCTCATCTCTACTATTTTAAGCCTTTAATATTACCACATTTCAAATTAGTACCATTATCACAATGACCATTACCACCATCAATCCCTAAATTTTAAAACCTCAATCGAAATTAAAAAAATTTACACTGTTAAACTCAAAAAATTTCAATAACCGCATCAACATAACATCCTATCCTTTAAATATTGGAGTATCAATACCAGCCCTATCCTTTTTAAACCCAATTTACATCTTCTTCTATTCATCTTCAAATCCTCCAAGCAAAGCTAAAATTAATTTTTAATATGTTATTGTTGTGTTTTAGATATGATCGGTTATTCCATAAGTGAATTTTATTTTTGTTTCCATTAAATGTCTAATTGTGTGATGCATTCATATAAACAAAATTAGGAGTGGATTGTTTAATTGTATGAAAAAAATATTAATATGTTAAGGTTATTATGGTCATTTTGTAGGCCAAGGGAGATATGTGTAATATTGAAAAGCTCAAGGGTACTAGGTGAAATTATTAGAAACCTTGAGGGAGGTCTCTGAAATTATCCCTAATATTAATGTATCACAGAACAGCCTCAAGCAGATTTGAAAACAAAACTAATTAATTTGAACTTATTTTGTAAAAGCTAACAACTAGCTGGCAAATTTACTTTAAAACAATAATAATAAATAGTACTAATCTGACATGCTCACCCTGTTCAATAGCTACGTAACATTTAAACAAATGAGAATTTGACAATCCAACGGTACAGCCATATAGTCTAATAATTTTTTTTTGTTTGACCAATCTTTTCGATAATGTGACACAGCTACTACGTTATGGATTGCCTCCAATGATTATCATTATCTAAGTCTAAATAACTTCTTTTACCTTTAAAACTTAATTGGTTATTTTTCCCATATGTCAAGATTAATTTGGATGAACGCTAAATATTTCTTCTTCTTCAACATTTACTTGTTCTTCATCGCCCATTTATTTTTCATTCTCATACTCTTCATCTGTGAGTTCACGATAACCATGCTCGTTGCACAGAGCTCTACATTTGAGTACCAAATGTTTATCAATGTTTATAACATAATTGCATGTTTCCAAGATGTGCTCATGATCGTACTCTTATCTGGTTTATATAGAATAGACAATCAAAGTGTATTTAGTCAAACAATCAAATGAATATTTAATTCACGTGTAATTTGTATAATTAGACATATAAAGAAGTTAAATATTACACCAGTAAAATTTATTAGGAAGGAAATATATATATATATATATATATAGCATCATGTTTTGTTTCAAGGTTCTGTCGTAGAAATGGTGAGGGTAATTGTAATAAATTTCAATAGTTTTAGGGTGCCAATAGTGGAACAAGATGGAACTTATTGAAATTTCAAGAGGGAGAGGTAAGGGGAAGGGAAGGTAAGAGTGGGGCAATCAAAACTTTTGTAAGTTGTTCTGTAGCTTTATGAATTAAAGGGGTGTAATTGTAACCCCCAAAAGCAATGTTGCTTTGCCCCTAAATATATAGTCCTCACCATGCCAGCTTATATGAACTAGGGTTAGGCGACTTTGGAATTTTCGTGCAATTTTATGTTTGTTAAATGCTTTACCTAATATTGTGCATCATCAAAAAAAACTTTGTTGTACTCATGCAACCAACTTATTGTACAAAAAATCACTTAATCTATAAGTTACACTAAATATAAGTGTACTCTAAATGTCAAAAGAAATGAAACAACGGTATATAACCGCACCAAATACATTGTACCTGCACAATCCTCAAGCTTATGATTCACATTGCAATGGCAAAATACTTGGTCTACTAGGCTTAAACCTAATTTGAATTCAGCTCATATATGAGTATAATTACATATGTGAAATATATACTCCGTTGATCGCATTTTATATGTCATGGTTTTCATTTTAGTTTGTCCCAAAATACTTGTCATGATTTAAAATAGAAATAAATGAAATCCAACTTTTCTATTATACCCTTAATGTAAGTCCCAAGGTAAAGCATTTAAGTCATATTCTCTTAATAAATTGTGCTACAAACTATCTTTATTTTTAGGTAGTTGTGCCTTTTTTAAAATTACAAACTCAACTTACAAACTTTTAAATTTTAATTAATTCAAGGGCACAAGTGTAAAGACATTTTTTAGTAGCTTATGTGTCTTAGTCAAAATTTATTTTCTTAAACTATGTGCAAAGTTGACGATGACATATAGAATGGGATGGACGGAGTATAATAATATCTATAATTTATAATTATACATATTACGACGTAAACTGTTAATAATTTATATACAAATTTATATTAGTTCACAATTTATATTAATTTATATTAATTTATAATTATACATATTATGATGTAAAATGTTAATAATTTATATATAAATTTGTATTAATTCATAATTTTAAAATATATATTATATATAATTATGTATTTAATTATGAGTTTGGGTCAAGCCCAATTTGAACCTGAAACTCATATAAAAGTGTGAGTTGAGTTTGAGTCTTTTAATATAATCCAGAAGCCCAAAAGCCCCAAATTCAAAAATTCATATAATTTGTTAGCCAAATTTGGGCTTGCTAAATTCCGGTTCAAAAAATCAAATTGACACCCCTAATCAATAATGTCACATTTCATTATGCAAATTCATACTTTTAATTGATTTGAGCATACTAGAAGCTTTTTTAATCAAAGGTCTCAATTAAGTGCCGAATTGTTTTATGTGCAAAAATTTCCATCCATTGATTTAACTAACAGTACAGTTTTTTAAAGATGATGCATAAATATGTTTTCCTTTGACATACTACCATTTATAAAGCAGCTTTGTGCTGTTCTAGTTAATTTCATTTTTTGTTTGCTAACCTTACTTCTCTCGATTTTTTAAACTTTTTTTTTGGTGAATTTTAAGAAAATGAAAATCCATTTATACTAAGTTATATAGTACACTTTTTTAAAGATGATGCATAAATATGTTTCCCTTTGACATACTACCATTTATAAAGCAGCTTAGTGCTGTTCTAGTTAATTTCATTTTTTTTTTGTTAACCTTACTTCTCTTGATTTTTTAAGCTTTTTTTGGATGAATTTTAAAAAAATGAAAATCTATTTATACTAAGTTACATAAATCTACTTAATTATTAAGCCTTGACAGGAAATTGTGAATATTAGAGGGTCTAAGGACGAAATAGTGAAATACATATTAGCAGCGGATCAAAGTCAACAAATGGACATCTAGCCATTATTTCTGTATCAGATTTCACGTTACACTCTGATTCAATATTCTAAAAATCCTCGGGAAGTCAAAATCAAAATGCAGTTTTTCAGTTGAAAGAAATTAAACCAAGCTATTTTAGTATTTGGTGGTATCTTATTTGTTAAGTATACATATTAGATTAGGAAATCTCAAGTCAATTTCCAAATAAGTTTTGGTTTATAATTATATTTGTTTTAGGAAGTTTTAGAGTCCATAAATACTACTAGTCTAGTAGGTTATTAGTAGAAGAGAAGAGAAGTGGAGAGTTGAGTTGAGTCTAGATATTAGACTTGAGAGAAAATCTCATAGTTAAAATTTGTGAGTTGTCATGAGCGAAAGGCTAAGACTTAGTATTTG